CTAGTAGTTCTTTCTTATATTTTGACTGGTATGTCGTATTGATCAGTTGTAGAACCGGTAGTTGGTTGTGCAGCTATGGCATAGCTAATGATGACGATGTCCGTCGGGAATGGTGTTGTGAGTATCTCTGGAGTTGCGATTCGAGCTTGTGAGCAAGTTTATCGAAAGATTTTGTATTATCCTTGTTAGCATTTGGGGTCACTAACGACCTTGAGGCGAGTAGTTTCCTTAACTGTTTTTCACGAATCTATGGACTTTGCAGATTGTGTTGTGCCACTGGTTAGAGTTTTCATGGTAGACTGTGTGGATGTGAGAGACACGACGCTTTTTCTTTTTTAGGAGGACAGATTTCGAGAACGAAATATTTTAAGAAGGGTAGATTGTAATATTTATGATTTTTTTTATTTTTCATTTTTGGAGATTTTTCGATCTTTTAGATTATTTTAATCCTTATCTCGTTTTGCATGCCGGACACTATGGGGTGTGTTATAAAAGTTGGTTAGGACATTTCCTTGAGTTCAGGACTCTTGGAATGCATTGGCTGCCATTTCGATTTTTTTTTTTCCGTGTTTCGGGCCGGGAGGTCTCGGGTGGCATCCGCAACCGGAGTTGTTGTGCACAAGGATTATTTTTTTCGGGTTCGTTGCATTTCTTACATTATTTATTTGATACATATCTATGTGGATACATGATTTGGATAGTAGTTGTAATGTGTTAATGTGTTTATATATATATATATATATATATATATTTGGTAAAAGGTGATAATTGTTTATGTGGGTCCCACCTAGCACTAAGTGTGATTTATATCATCACATACCACATTCTGGCCATTTCTTATCCTCTATCACGCAGCCCTTTTCTCTCTCTACGTGAAACCCATTTTCTCTCACTAAATCACAAATTATAAAACTTGATTTCATCATTTTTCACTTGGATTTCAACTTTGCCATCAATGGCAAAGTTGATGAGCTCGTTGAGGACTACGTTTTGATCAGAGCTGATCTTGATTTGGACATCCTAGGGTTTTTGAATTTAGGGGTTGAATTGGGTGCAATTTGGGGTTTTCTTCTATATTTGAGGTAGGGGTTTCCTAAAGTATACAACCTTTGTTTTTGGTGAATTAATTCTTTGAATTTGAGCTACCAACTTGTATAGAATTTAGCCTTTATTCCAAGCATGATTTGTGAAGCTCCAAATCTGAAATTCGTAACTTCAATAATAGTGTGTGATGTGTATTTAGAAACTGAGAAAGTGAGCTCCCTTAAATGTTGATTTTGTTGTGTACATAAAAACTGAAACTTGAATAATTAGCATGATTGTGTTTTGTCGTTTTACAAAAACTGAAATTCCTATGCTTGAATGACTTCAATTGTGGGACCGTTTTGAGGTAAGGATTGTTGTTGTTGTTAATGCTCAAAAACTGAAAATTTTAGCTTCTATGATGGTGGGTATTATGTACTTAGAAACTGTATTTGAGCTCTCCTGAATGTTGATTATGTTTGTGTACATAAACTAAAATTTTAGTAATTAACTTGATTGGGTTGTTGCTGATTTACAAAAACTGAAATTTTATGTTGAACTTACCTCATATGTGGGGCTGTTTTGTTGTAAGGATTATAGTTGATGGTGTTGCTCGAAAATTGAGATTTGTAACTTCTTTAATGGTGCGTAGTAGGTGCTTAGAAACTGAAATATAAGCTTTCTAAATGCTGATTGTGTTATGTGTATAAAAACAGTAAATTTAGTAATTTCCATAGATATGTTTTTTTGTGTTTGCAAGCTGAAATTTATATGTTTAAATTGCCTCATTTATGGAACTGTTTTGTTACAAGCTTGTTATTGTTCTTGTTGTTGTTCAAAATCTGAATTGGTGCCTGGACTTTACAGCATGAATGATTATGTTATTGTGGTTTCAAAACTGCTATATTGATTTGCCATTAAGTATAATTTATAGAACTGAAATTTGATGTGGAGATGCTATGACATTATGAGATTTTGAAGGGTGTCATTCATGCATCATATTGGGTATTACATGGGGCAAAAAAAAAAAAAAAAAAAAAAAAAAAAAAAAAAAAAAAAACATATTTTTTTTGGGAGGAGATTGTATTTTTGAAATGAAAGTAATAACTGAAATTTTGGGGATTTCATTTGCAAGATTGCATTATGTGATGGTTTTTACTTCTCGAACAATTATGAACCCCTTTCCTTGTTGCTATTCTTTGTTTGGATTTACGGAAGCATTAAGGAGTGTGTTTTAGGCATCTTCTACTGAGCCGTTGTGCTCACTTCTTACTAATATTTTTTTTCAGGACACGGAAATGAAGTGGCGAAAGACATTCCCCACAGGCTTAGATAAGACTTGACGGACTTTCTTGTGTTAATTTTCTATTGTATATACAAGTCATGTAAAACTTTAAACTTGTTTTGTATCTTTTTTGTAAACTTATGTTCACGGACCGTGGTCGGATATAATGTATCATGTAAATGGACTTTTGTTTTGTTTTTTTTTTTTTTTTTGTCTATGTGTGTGATCATGATATTACCATTATAGATGCATGTGGTGACTGTTGTGAGACAGGGTTAGCCTTTAATATAGCTCACAAATGAGTTCGGAAATTATAGGACTTTAGAAACTTAGAATCCGTATTACAGTTTTCAGATTTGTATGATGTGTTCCCTTGTAGTTTAGAATTGGGAATGACTGTAGTGACAGTTGATGACCTCGGGTTCGAGTATGGACCCGAATACGGTTCAGACCTCTGGGTTCAGGTCGCTACACTTTTAGACCTTAATTTAAATGATATGTATGGTTTGAAGGAGGGAAAAAAAAGTGAAAGTAATTTTACTAAAATACTTTAGTTATGTTAAGTGATAAATTTTTCTTAAATGATGTCAAATGACATTATCAAAAGATCTAATTAAAAAATAGAGAAATGATAGGTCTTTCGACTAGGGATGGCAATGGGGCAGGTTTCCCTAAATCCCGCCCCGGCCCATTTAATTTTTGTTAAGTCCATGCCCGCCCCACGACCCGCGACGGGCTCAATTTCATGTCCAACCCCGCCCTGTTGGAAAATATTGTGCCCTGTGCCCGCCCGGTTAACAAATTTTTTTTTCCCACTTTTTGGGACTTTAGTTGCTGTTATTTAAATATGGAAAGATTGGGAATGACACAACATAAATGAAATTATGAATCCCAACAAAAATACAAAAAAATAACATGCACATAACATAATTCAGATAATATAATCAACAAAAATAAGGGTTTAATACAACAAAATCACAAGAAGTTCTAAGCTCTAATTTCAACCATAACCAATACAAAAGTAAATTAATGCCAAGTTTACATCCCAAATGAGTTATTAATATTATATATATATATTAAATCTAGTTATATGCTTAGCGGGGTGAGGCGGGGTCCCGCGGATATGTATACTGAACCCTTACTTGCCCCGTGATCCGTAACGGGTACAGCCCCAACGGTATAAAAGGTGTTTCCATATCCATTATTAACGGGGCGGGACGGGCCGGTAAAAATTGACACCCCTACTTCCGACCTTAATTGTCGACTCTTTCTCCGAATACAATGTGATTGAATTACATTGGAACTCTTAAAAAAAATCCCGTAAACATTTATTTCTCTTCGACTTATTTTCAATCACATTATATTTAGAAAAAGAGTCGATAATTGAGATCGAAAGACCTATCATTATTCTAAAAAATATAAGAGCTTCGTTTAGAAATAAGATTTGAACTAAAAGAAGAAAAACGAAGATTTTGGGTTAGGAAATGGGCTTCAAGGATGAGGCCCAATTCTCATTTATTTGCCCCATGTGATGGAATTACTTACTCTCCTCAATTTTTTTATTTGTTTATTTGGTTTATATTATAAAAATTTTAAAATTCTAAAATTGGCCCCTCTCAAACTTTTCATATTCTCATTTTGTATATCTTGAATTTTAAAATTCTAAGAGTCTAATCTTTAGCCTATATTCTCTCTCTGGTCATTAGACAATAGACACTATATCTTAATATTTAATCCTTTTCTCTTTCCCATGCTATGTGAATTTTCCTTTAATGAGATATATTAAAGGTATTAAAAAAAAAAAAAAAACTTAAGTTGCATTTGAAAGTACCAAATGACTGATTTAGATGCAATCCTCTCAAACATAAATATGTTACATGAATATCCTAATTAAACACATGTCTACCGGAAAAATGACCATATTGTAAAATGTAAATTTAATGAAAAAGAATCAAGACTGCACTTACCAAAAATAAGAGCTACAAAGACTGCTATTACACGTTGTGACACACACACACAAAAAGGATTAAGAGTAATGGAATAAAACAACATTGCATAAATTACACCGACACCTTTTAAGTTAGATCAAATCTCGCATAAATGAACAATTGGGTTTAACTTATAATTAGTTCGTTTACTTATTTAACGAGTTGAGGTTGGACTAAATTTTCAAATTTATTTGATAAACGATCCAAACATGGTCAACGTTGAGTTTAGTTCATTAGATTTGTGAGCAAACTTGTTAACTTAAAACGATTTAGATTTTAGATTCTTATTTAAAGAGGTTCAGTCTAATGTTTACTTATTAAACGGTCTAAATTTAAATTTATTTTTAAAATTTATTTGGTAAACTAGTCGAGTTTAATCATTGAGGTCAGCTCATTAGATCAGTAAACAAATTGGTTAATTTAAGTTTATCTAAATTTAAAATTTTTATATTAAAGGGGTTGGTATTACAAAGAGGACTCGCCGGCCTGAATGTTTACCCACCTAAGAAAAATTGTCGACCTAACCAATTTAATAACTTAAAATTTTGGATCGAATGGTTGTCGACCTAACCAATCTAATAACTTAAAATTTTGGATCGGATTGCAAAAATATGGACCCTTTAAATTTATACCATACTGATATATATAAATTCGCGAGTTGAGGCCGAAGAGACCTAAACTCGGTTCGGTTCGATTTATTAATTTGCTGGGCTAAAAAAACCATAATTGAAACCAGGGTTTAAGCGTCCCTGTCAAACCTTTCTCTCTCTGAAATGGAGTGTTTGACCTCACCTTAGTCCCCTGCTTCCTCTTTCTCTCTCTTAAATGGCACAAACTCCTTTCTCCCTCCTTCTCCGACGTCTCTACACGAAGAACCCTAACCTCCACTGGGCCTCACAACCACTCTTTCTCTCTCATCGCCTCGCACCCAAAAACTTCCCTTCTCTCTCCTTTCTCCAGAGCAACAGCACAAGCACAAGCAACAACACAACCACAACCTCCTCGGACCCCAACAAACCCACCTCCCTCTCAGCTCGCCTGAGCTTCGTCTTCGACCAAATCGATGCCATTGAAAAAGAACGCTCCGAGAAGGACGAGACCTTGCAGAGAATTCGCGCTTGGCGCGAATCGAAGAAGAACAAAAACAACGAAGACACCAAAAATCTTGGATCAGATTCTCCTGAATTGGGCTCTAGCGAGTTGAAATCTACTGGGTTGGACTCGGGTGAGTTGGAGGCGAAGAAGAACGAGGAGAGAGGGGGTTTGATGAAAAAGGCGGTTGAGTTGGTGCACCCGTGGCCGGAATGGATTGAATTGATGGAGAGATTGGTGCACCAGAACTATTTTGATCACAGAAGGAAGGATGAGGACAAGATGATCGAGGATTTGGGGTTTGACATGTCCCAGGTTGCCGAGGAAGGGATCGATTTTATGAGGGACTGGAAGACTGTGCAGACCGCATGCATTAATTTCGGCAAGGATCGGTTTGATATATTGAGGTTTGTGGTTCGGTTTTTTGTTGAGTATACTTTACTGTTTCATTGTAATTCTCTGATGATGAAATGATCTCAGTTAAGTTAATGGGTGTTTAGCATTTTCTTGAATCCCTAAAATGTAAATTTTAACCAATAGAAAAGACTCTTTGATGGATGCTAAATATTGCTAATCAATGTTTGGTTGCTAAGATAATACAGGTAAATGAAAAAAATGAATTTTTTGAAACTGATGTTTCTTTGCGTGTGTTTGTGTCTCTCTTTCCTTGTTTAACTTCAAAATGCTCTATTGTATAGTTTGTTTATCCTATCTTCATTACATTCTGCAATGGATGCCAATTACAGTTTCAAGTCAATGGACTGTGGATTTATTACAAACAAAGGAAATCCTCTTCTTAATTTTTTTGTTTAAACTTTGCGATTCTAATTTGGGAAATGGGAAGGAATTGAAATCTTGAATCTTAAAGTTTTCATGATTTAGAATTTCAGAAAACAAAGACCTCCATTCAACTAATCTTTGTAGAACTATTTGGTTTCGCTGGGGTGAGTTTGTCAATTTTTCAAAATCAACCTGATATAACACATTGGTATTTGATTGAGATTTTATGTTCTGTCTTCCTCAGTTTCCTTGACTTGCAGATAGAAGGTAAGAGGAATAGAAATGCATGCTTATAATTAGTTGTGATTGCACCTAATCCTATAGAATGCAAATTCTGTTGCCTAGGATAAAAGTAGGAGGAAATATGATTGTATCTTAAGAAAAAAATTTAAACCCGAAAAGTCATGGAAGTAACTCACCAAAAAAAAAAAAAAAAAAAAAAAAAAAAAAAAAAAAAAAAAAAAAAAGAGTCGCGCTGCCCATCTAAAAGACCAAAATATTAATAATCCGTTCCATGTTATCCCCTTCATCATGTCATTCTTACATACCATGATAATATGCTCATATAAGAGAACTACCTTATTTAAAGAATTGAGACTCGTCGTTTGTCAGGAGTCATTGAGAATTTTTCCTACTAAATTGGCATAAAGTAGTGATTAACTGATTAATGGTTTAGCTTTACTCAAGTCCCTTGGATGGAATAGAGTTCCCCAAGAGTGCATGCAAATCTGAGGGCTAGATTATATTATACGTATGGTATTTTGTATCTTAAAATATACATTTCAAATAGTCAGCCCAATCCTTAAAGTTGTGTTGTATAATGTCTGATGCCTATAGTCTTGCTTTCCTGCTTCAATGAGTTATCCCGATTGATTATTTTGGTTTGTGGGGTTCTTGATTGATAATCATTTATGTGTTTTCTGTTAGTATTTCCCTAGCTTTAGTGTGTATAAGTTATTATAAAATTTCAATTGAAGTCACTTTGGTTGAGATGTGCTTAGGATGGGAATTGATTTCAGGTCATTGTCGAGACAGGATATTCAAATTTTGGTTGGTCATGGATGCCCTAGTGCGGATAAGAAGGTGGTTTTTTCTGCAAAATTATTGAGGAAACACGTCCATCTCGATGAAGGAGATGTAAGTGTTACTGCATTGGATCGTTAGTAGGTCATTGTTTACCCAATTATGCATCACAAACAATTGATGATGAAATTCCCTCCATATGATGCATAATATTTGTCAATTTAATATATTATATTTGGCTGTATGTAAAACATTGTCAGCATTAAACAAGCAAATGTTTGCCCCAACCATGGATGTTTGATATTGTAGGTAAACACATGTTTTTCTGTAGTTCAATTTGCCTCTTAGACGTAGATGATGCGAAATTGCTTAATCTTCATTTATAAAGATGGTGCTGAGAAGTGCATATCTTTTGTATTTCTTAATACATATTCATGTCACTCCCTTTTCCCTCTTATGCAATTCTATCCTGCTTATAATCTCTTGTACCCCATCCAACCACTTGCTCCCCACAAAATCACACAAAGTCTCTTTGGCGGGCAAATGAGTTATAATGGTCTTTACCATTATAACCTGCGGGTTGTTTTCTTTGCCTCTGCTTTATTCTTTTATTTTCCTTTTCCTGCCATCATTGTTTCTGAGAATCAAATATAGACCTAAGGGTGGGTCTTTAGCTGTGGTGACCTCGTGGGTGGGTGTGCATGGGCAGGTGCGAGGCACTGGCAAGCTACAAGTGCACAATCCCACATTGCTTGGGTAAGGTTTGGGTGATTGTGGCGACTTTGTGGGCAGTTGTGCGTGGGTGGGTGCGAGGCACTGGGAGGCTACCATGCTGGTAGGCTACAGTGCACAATTCCACGTCATCTGAGTAAGGTGAAGGTGAAGTGCTTATATGTGCTAGTGTTATCTTAAAATAGTATGAGATTTTTTGGGGTAAAACCGAAAAACAAAACCGTGTGAGCTCAGGCCCAAAGTGGACAATATCATACAAGAACAAGTACCTTAGTGGAATTAGGCTAGAGGAATCCAATGCAAGCATGAAAGAATGTCACTCCATGTTTATAGTGTCTTCATTGTTGATCCTAATGTGGCGGATTTGAGAAATGTTGGGCCAATCTTCCCCCTTTGGCAACGTGATTTCGGCAATGGACATTTGTATATATGCAGGTAAGAGAGGGAGTTGGGCAGCCCCTCTTCTGGCAAGGACCAGAGCTTAGTGCAGTTCCAAATATATAAATTTGTAAGAGAGGTGAGGAGTTGAAGCCCTTGTAGTTCAGTGATTTCATATTTGGAAGTCATTTATTCAAAGTTCGGTAAAAGTGACTTGCAATAATCACTCCTCCAGAAATGACCCTAACACTTCTTCATAGTCACCCTCGATGTTGGAATGTGGAAGAGATGGGAGTGCTTGCAAACCCCACCCCATCCGACCCTTCATCAGTTTCTCGCAATTATAGATAGAAGGTGAACGTAGGTTAGATGGCAAACTTGTGTGTGGAAATGATTCAACTTTTGGATAGTTCCATATATACAATCTTTCAAGAGATGTGAGTTCCATATACAGTTCCATAATGCACACCCAATAAAAATTTGCTAAAATAAAATGTGCATAGCACCCTAATATAAATATCATGAAATACTCAACAATTAGAAGGATTTTCTTACGTTTATTCATGATTTTCCAGGAACCAAACAAAAGAAATAGAAAAATATTACCCTAGAATTAGAGAAATAAATAAATGAAATAAAACACACTTATACAGAGATCAGTGTGTGTATAAACACAGGAAGAATAATAAAGAGCGCTCCAGATGAGGATTGGAATGAACCTTAGTTACAGCGAAGAGAGAAGTGGAGGCCGCGAAGAGTATAGATCACTTGTACACATGCACTCGGGAGAGAAATTAGAGGAACCCTAATACGAATATTTATGAATAGAAGTTGTTTCAAATTTCAAATGACTTTACCCATGCTGATTTGCAGAAATGCGGGGGCTTATTGGAGGGCTAAAAATGTACTCTAGCTACTTAGGCCCAACTGTTCAACCAAATAGTTGGGCTTCGGTTGAAGAGTTGGGCCTATAAATCGTTATTCAATTTTAAAATGGTTGATATAGTTGGAATTGACACCACTATGTGAAAAAAATGGTGAATTTTCACTGTAAAATTTATGCGATTCAATAGTTGTGTGTCATAATTGTGTTTTGGAACTCCCGTCTCTTGAAACATTATATATATGGAACTGTCCAGAAGTTGAATCATTACTTGACGGAGGTTTGCCATCCAATGAACCTACGTTCACTTTCTATCTATAATTGCGAGAAATTGATGAAGGGCCGGATTGGGTGGGGTTTGCAAGCACTCCCATCTCTTCGACATTCTAACATCAAGGGTGAATATGAAGAAGTGTTGGGGTCATTTCCGGAGGAGTGGTTATTACCCACCACTCTTACCAAACTTTGGATAGATGACGTTCCAAATCTGAAATCACTGAACCACAAGGGCCTTCAACTCCTCACCTCTCTTACAAATCTATTCGTCTGGAATTGCCCTAAGCTCTAGTCCTTGCCAGAAGAGTGGCTGCCCAACTCCCTATCTTACCTGCATATGTACAAATGTCCATTGCTAAAAGCACATTACCAAAGGGGGGAGATTGGCCCAACATTTCTCAAATCCTCCACACAAGGATCGATGATGCTCGCTTTGGATTCCTCTAGTTTGGCATTCTTTCATGCTCGCATTGGATTCCTCTGGTTTCTATTCCAGCCGAAAAATCCCCTAATTTCACTAAGGTACTTATTCTAAACCATGTACTACAACATAACCAAAGTTGTTGCTTTCTTCTTCTATCTATTAGTTTTCCCCACTTTCCTTGCACTGTCAACACCAGTGCTGTGCATTTCTTGGAATACCAGAAAGATTGGTGTTCACATTATGACCATGCCCAGATGAATTCTCAAATTTGTTGACATTAATGGTTGCAGAGAAACTTCAATTCTCAGTCCAGTATGTGCCTCCACATTTGGTAAATACAGTCTTAATTAATGTCAGTTATAGAGAACATGCAAGATGATGATTCTAGCAAGTTTGTCATCGGCAACATGCATAATAAATATGGTTTAATTTGATGGAGAATATTAGATTAATATGATTTTCTTTTGCAGCTAAAGACCCACCCTTAGGTCTGTATTTGATTCTCAGAAACAATCCACAGTTAAAAGCATCTTTTATTTTATTTTTCTTTAGTTATTACAATCTGATTGGTGGGCACATGAGTTATAATGGTCTTTACCACGTGCTATAAAACATTTTAATTCATTAAGGAGTTAAGATAGAGATTACAGAATTTGACTTGGACATGAAATGTCTGACATGGTGGCTTCAAAATAAATTAAGACGCAACTTCTTGATGCCTAAAATGGTTTCTAATCCGGCTGTAAATGCTAGAAGTGGAATGTTGTGGTTACAAAGATCATAATCTTTCCCTGGAATATTTCATCCTTCTGCTAAACAAATTAAATTGGAAATTGTAAAAATGCTATATTAATTATGGTTATTTGTTCATATTTCAGGTCTGTAGTTCCTGCAGCTTGAGGAACTCCTGTGAAAGAGCATATCTTATAACAAATAAAGAGGATGAGGCACGGACTATTGATGTTATGCGTGTCATCTTGACATATGGGTTTGATCCTGTAAATGGGTCAGTTGTCAATGAATCTCTTCTGAAAATAAAGTCTGTGAAGACTGTAATTCGTAAATTGCTTCATGAGATTGTCAAGTTGAGTGCTGTTCCAATAGATCCAAATCTTCCTCCTCCTGTAATCAATAAGCCCCCACCAAAGGTGAAACAACCACCTCCCCCTCCAAAGAAACGAGTTGGACGTGATGACATTGAGATGAAAAAAGGAGATTGGCTATGTCCCAAGTAGGTTCCATTTCTTGAAGTTTCGTAATTACATGCAAAGTTCTTTTCCTTCAAAATTAATAGAGAGGCTCTGGCAATATGTCGTGAAGATATCTTTAGAATATCATCTGCCAATGGAACCCATTTGTTGCTGCCTTCTTAGGGTGGATGATCCTGTGAATGGAAATCTTTGCATGTTATCTATTGCATTCTTGGAATGTAAAAATCCTAAATGAAGGTGCTTATCCCGAGATGATAAGTGCAGTGATTTAATTACCAACCAGAATTTGCTATATTTATGCTTAGCTAATCCCATTCATTTGGAATAAAGGCAACGATGATAATTATTACGTGACGTCAGATGTCGCCTTGAGTTGGGTGATTATAAACAATAAAACACTGCTTTGTACACACCCAATTTCTCTGGCTGGCACAAGACTGCTTGATAATAGATGATTAAATTGTCTAGGATGGTTTAGTATTGGTGGTAATTTGCTGTTTGGGCTGCACTAGGTGGCCCATCAACGCATATTTTGGTTTTAAGCGCATCATTATGAATTGTTTCAAAGCTTATTTTGAACCCCAGTTAGTTACATTTCAGCAACTAATGTATAACATAATTAATATTTCCTGTTGCTGAGAATGATGAATAATTGTCTCAGGTGTGACTTCATGAATTTTGCAAAGAACACAGTGTGCCTGCAATGTGATGGCCAACGTCCTAAGAGACAGCTCCTCCCGGGAGAATGGGAATGCCCCAAGTATGATTCTGCTTGCTGCTGCAACATTTTATTTTATTTTATATTTTTTATGATTTTGTCTTTAAGATAACTTTGAATCTTTTGATGAATTTGAAATTAATGCATATACGTGACTCTGTGATTTTGAAATTAATGCATATACATGACTCTGTGATTTTGAAATTAATGCATATATATCTCTAATATTAATAATATTGCTCATCATGTAATAATAGGTTAAAAAGTTCACCAGGGTGATTCCAAGGGTCTTTTGAAATAAGGGGGCAGTTGCAGTCTTATGTTTGCCCTTTTCCCCCCTTCTTTCAAAGTGGACATTATAACTGCAATGATTTCAATAGTCTTGACTTGCTGCTAATGCTATAAAAAAAAAATTGTGGTGCCTCACCACAGCCCAAGAAATGTGGTTCTTGGAGCCATTTATGACTTTCCACTTGGAAGTTATAGATACAGATTTTGTATCAATGCTGTTAGTTGCATTGTGAACAGTTTGACATGTTTGTCCTCGGTCCCTATCTTTTGGCAGGTGCAATTTTTTGAATTATAGGAGGAATATGGCATGTTTTCATTGTGAACACAAGCGTCCACCCGATGAATTCACAGAGAACCAAATGCAAGAAAGGCAACGTGGTCCCAGAACAAGTATGGAGAAGGTCCCCAGCAGGGCTGAAGTTTCTAATGCATGGAATTTTGATTTTGATGACAACGAATCTGATGGAGCAGATGTTGCTACTTTTGAGTACGCGGATTCTCGAAACATGAATGATGATTTTCCCCTAGATAGTCGAGTTCATGGAGAAAATATTAGGGGAGCTGAAGATTTCCACAATGCTAGCAAAAATCCAAGGGTGTGTGAGAGAGAATACTCAGATCCTGGTCAAAAGAAACCAGGGATGGGATTTGATGATTTTGATGATGAAGAAGATGATGTCGACAGTTATGAGCTAGACACTCAAAACAGTAACCAAGTTAAGAAGAATTCTTCAATTGATTTCTCTGAGGTTGAAGGTTATTCTGATTCTGAAGATATTGAAGTCTATGGTGGGAATAGGCTTGCTCCTCAGAGAACCAGGTCATTGTCACACAATAAGCCTTTGAAGCCAATTCATAAAAAAACACCTATTTCTGGCTCAGAGGATGATGAACTAGATTTTGATTCAGACGAAGACCTTCCAGTTCATCCCAACTGGAAATCTAGTCATGTTGCTGATTCGAGACAGGGAAATAGACGTAAAGGGGGAAGGAGTTTTGGTTCAGATGAAGAACTTGAGCTCAGTTCTGGCTCTGAGGACTTCGCCAACAAAGATTTTGGACCGAGGCAGAATAAGGGGAATAGACGAGGTTCTAGTAGAGGTGATTTCAGGAGGGGAGGAAGGTCTGATACATATGATGATGATGATGAGTCTGGTTTAGAATCCGGTGATGATGATCGACGTTCCTTTAGAGGGAGCCGGAGAGGTAATAAAGCAGGCGCAGGAAACACTTCCAGGGGTCGTGGTCGTTCTGATTTTTCTGGACCCTCACGATCTAGATCCAATGACATGATGGGTGATAGAAGGAAACCTTTCAATGACAATTTCAATAGATCATCGCGAGGGTCTCATGGTAATAATAGATCATCACGAGGGCCTCAAAGGGATGACTATGGTAGGCATAGAGTGAATGACAGAGAGGCTGGTTTTCAGAATTCCAGAGGCACGAGACGGGGAGGATTTGGTAATCGTCAACGTGAAGTGAGTGACAGAGAGGCTGGTTTTCAGAATTTCGGAGGCACAAGACGGGGAGGATTTGGTAATCGTCAGCGTGAAGGGTCTAATAATTCTTACAACCCATACGATGATGAACGGTACAAAAGGCCACGCATTAATGTGCGATGAATCTGAACCATGATTCAACTGGTTTTTGGTAATTGGTTCGTTTCTGCCCCACGGGTTTCCAAAATGAGTAGACTTCAAATATCAAGAGCTCATTTTTCATTAAAAATGCTGCAAGAAGGAAAATTGAAAAAGTATGACTCTTCCACCTGCAAGCCTTGTATCAAGTAAATCAGCAGAACTTCCCTAGCAGTTGCAGACGACCGACCTGAAGTTCAATTGTGCTAAATATAAGATCTGATCCTTCTTTTTCTGTGAGAGTTGAGCTTCGCATTCAGTTTGGTTACCATTGCTTGGCCTTGTAGGTGTGAAGACGATGCAATCACTTCGTGCCGGTCTATCCCGGCGCTCTCCATTCTTCTTCTCCCAACACCTGCAAAAGCAGGACCAGCACTGGACCATTAAGTTTTGTTGCCACAGCAAGACAACACTGGGCCTCATAAGTTTTGTTGCCAATAGTGAACTGTTGAGCTTTATTTGCATTTTCATTCCTATTATCATTCAAGGGCTTTTTGAGTTGCTGTTCCCTATTGGGATTAAATTGCAGGATGTATTTTTTCTTTATTGTTTTTTATTTATTTTATTTTTATCATAAATGTGTCTTCTTCCTGTGTATGCATGCAGTTGGTAAAAATAAATTGATGAAAATCATATTATACCTGTTTTTCTAATATGTTACCTTAGCATTGTTGACTTCTGTTTCTTTATTGCCTTTTTGTGTTTTTCTTTTGCACTGTTGCATCCACATTTGTTCAACGCACATGAAGCATTTCAACATTCATACTACACAACCCATGGGCAATTACGGTATAACTTTCTCTGTCCTTGAAGATGTGGGGAGGTGTCGGAGTCCCGACATGACTGAACTGTGTTTTTTTGAAGTTTGTTTTTTTGAAAGGTGACAAAAATACACATCGGTGGTTGGATTTGTATGTTGCCTATATATGGCGAATTATTGTTCCTGTCAACTTCGAAACAAACACGCGGCACGAATATTAAATAAATAATATCATATTACTTGTAATCCGTTTAATAAATAAGTCAAATTTTATTTGATAAAATTTTGTGCCATTAAGATCAATGTAACACAAATGAGACATATTTACTTTAATGAGTTAATTTTAATATGGGTGTGATAGATTTATCTAATATGTTTAGTTAAAGAGGTCTAATTGGATTATTAACGGATTGGTGGATAAAATACAAACATAACATGTTTAATCAACGTGTCAATTTGAATCGATTGCGATAATTACACTTATTCTCTTATAGTTACACGTGTATAATAGACTGATAAATGTCATAACTAATGATCAAAATGGTTAAGGTGGATGTGACAATTTTTTTTAGCTTTATATGACAAACTTGCCTTTTAAATTAGGGTTAATTACACTGCCCTCCTATGAGGTTTAAGCAAATTACATACGGATCAAGTGTTTGACCTTTATTATTTTGACCTCCCCTAAAATTTGGCTCGTGTACTTAACGACACCCCTGCCATTAATAAAAATTTAAAAAATGACCAAATTTTCCTTTTCTCATTTTAAAAGATCTCAATAACCTTATATTTTGACATAAAATGAAAAAAATATTATGAAATGCCATTGAAATGCAAAGTATCAATTTTCTCACCAATTTTATATTATTAAATTTTACATTTTTTTTTTTCAAAAAAAAAAATTATGTAAGGTAATATAGTGTTTATAAGATAGAGAAAAATAAATAAATAAAATGGTAATAGAGTCTTTTGGTTTGAGAGATTTTTTTATTAAACTATTATTAAATTAGATAAGATATGAAAGATATTTCACACTTTTAGGGGAGGTCAAAGTAATAAAGACCAAACACTCTCTATGTGTAATTTGTTCAAATCTCATGAAAGATCAGTGTAATTCACCTTTCAAATTACTAAGAAAGCTTTTGTCCAATGCTTGTTGAGCGAAAGATAATTATTCCCATAACTAAATAAAATTATATTGACAGAAATACGTATGAATATAATTGTCCTTTCACATAACAAGTATTGGACAAAATACTTTTACAATAATTTAAAAGGCTTGTTTGTTATATGAAGTTTAAAAGGCTTGTTTGTTATACGAAGCTAAAAAACTTGCCACGTTAATTGTTGACCATCTCTAATGGTTAGTGAAACTCATTGTTTTGTTGCACAGGAGATAATTGTAATTATCTAAAATAGGGGGAAGATAAGTGTAATTTTTTAAAATGTTATGAGTGTAGAAGTTTGATGGGCCCATTTTATTTTTGATTATTTTTGATGGGCCCATTTAATAGACCAAGGAAGATTTCCTCCTCCTAATTCAAAACCATTGACCCAATTACGCGGTCTATTAAATGGGCCCATCTCCTTATAGTACCCAATTCAGAACGATATTGATCTTCATACTGCCACGTGAACGGTGATTGCGTCCGGTTCTCGAAACCGAACCGGCGGTCTTTAATTTGAAGATTTTTGTTTTTCCCCTTCTCACACCTCTGAGAAACAAAACCTCATTGGCCCTTTATTTTCAAGTTTCCCGGCAACACCTCTTTCACATATATATAATTATATATACACGCATATTTACGTACATATATATACACACACACATAATACGCACACATCTTATTGTAATCTCTATCCTCTATTCCTATGCTTACTCTCTCGTCTAAACTGTTTTGCTCTTCAGTCTCTCTGGGTGCTTTACGGTACGCTATTTTCGGTAGTTACCGTGATACATATAATTTAGGGTTTAAGGTCGATGAATGGTTTTCAATTTATGTGTTTGATTTTCTTAGATATTTCTTTTTATGATTTACTGTTTAAATTTGCATTCCCATCTTTTGAATTTTAGATCTCTTTTTTGATATAAGCAAACGAATTTGAATTGACGTGCTTGCCTGATTTGATTCCTCTAGTTTTCTACTACGTTTGAAATGAATAGAAAGTGGCGTTATATGAATCGGTTCATATTAACCATTGTAGACCTTTAAGTGAATCTGCAAAATGTCATTGGACTTAGAATAATTAAATTCTTTAGTGAAATATAATCTTTAAAATTCAGATAATAAATTTTGCAATTTGGGTATTTTGGGTCTTATTGCTAGTATATATTTCAAATATGCGATGGGATTTTTTTATATTATCACTGAATTTTCATTTCGGTGAACCCATATGAGCTACATAAGTTTTAGCATTCATGGTTTCAATCTTTCATCACTATATTTATCTTGTGGTTCATCATCATCATCTTCGCTTTTCTCCACTTCATGCTGCCAATCCTGCTTCAGTTGATCTATTTTGATCATGTTATGTTAAAATATATGGTGTAAATCGTTGGTATTGGTCTTTCATAGTTAAATGGTGGCGTTAAGTCCAGATCTTACTTGTCGACTACATTAAATTAGCATACTTCTTGTAGATACTTGATAGTTACTGATACAAGTAACTAACGAAAAGAGTTGGAATACAAGTAACTAATGAAAAGGGTTGGAATTACTTAAATGCATTTAAATGAAAAACTTCTCTACAATGCAAAGACTAGAAATATGATTAATGAGGTTTCAAATTGTTACTATGTCATCTGGGATTTTTATTGGGAAAGTAGGAACAGGAAATATACGAGAGAGATTTGTTAGCTTGTTAATTGTAACTCCTTTTGAAGCTTTTGTGTTTTCCTTCATTTTTCATTTTTTACCAAATACTGTGCTCATCGATGTCTGTAGTGAGAGTTTCCTTTAATGAAATGACTTATATGACAAAGTTTCTAATGTGATACAAATGCTTGTAATGATTTTATTTTGCTTTAAGTGTTTCCTTTCGGATTAGGACATAATCCCTTACTATATTTTATTCAAATTATAAAAGAAATGTATTGTTTACTACATATATTACGATCCATTTAGTGAACGACCACTTTACTCTCTCCTAGGTTGTTTGCAAAAGTGCAACCTAAAATAGTTTACAAACAAGTCAAGAATGGCTGAATTGTAATCACTCCTTGTGATCCGCTTTCCTCCACAGTTATTGCAAGTCAAATTTGTATACGAACGGATACGAAGAATGATGAATTGCTACTGCAGACTGTTCTATGATCAACCTGTAATTAGCTCTATTTCAGAAATGGTCAGAGTCCACATACATCATCCAAATCACTAGTGCGCATGTGTGAAGACAACAAAATAAAAAAGGTTTGCAAGCAATTATTCTTTCAAAATCTGTGCAAAATATATTTTTTATATGCTTGTTGTGCTTGTTCTCTTTGAAAACACCTAACTGGTAATAATTTATTTTATGTTCTTAATCCTTCGGAGAAGTTCGAACAGCCGCCAAGACTGATTTGAGATGGTTAAACTGATTTGGGAAAATATCATTTCTTCTTAGGATGAGTATGTAGTAGGCTATTCTTAACAGGAAGGACTGTTTATTGGTGGATTGAGGTTCAAATGGGGACTGGTGAGCTTGGATTGAGGAAGGATGTGTGGTATGACCGAGCTTTGTTTGGTGAAGGAATATCTTCATCTTTTATATATTGCCTATTAAGATGCATGGAATATTGAATTATTTGGTAGGTAATGGAGGTGAGTTTAGACTTAACTTTATTATCTAGCATCTTAATTTCATGGTCCTCTTTCAAGAACTCTGCTCAGTGAAGATCATTAAGGAAGAAGAGGATTTGTTTGGAAAGAGTGTGGAGATGTCTTTATACAGTTTGATCCTCTTATGGGAGTTTGTCATAGACTCATAGGGGATCCAAAGCTTTCCTAATAATGGGCGTGAGTTCCTTTCTATTCTTCTAAGGTCTTTTTCCGCACTTGGACTAATGCAATGGTTAAATTTTTAATGGCGATAGACTTGTAATTTATAAAGGTGCAGTATACTTGCTTGATAATACCCCCCGCGCCTCTCTTTTCTTGCATTTATTGGTGGCTTGGAACTTAAGGTGTTTCTGTTTTCTCATTTTGGTATATGGTGTGCCTAACTTGGTTTTGGACTTGTTTTGTGGTGGGAGTCGGTGTTGGGGATAGGAAGAAGGTGCGCGGATGAAAATATTCATGCTACCTTATGGTGTAGTTGGAGCCTGGGGGGGAGCGGTGTGGAACTCTTTTAAGGGAAGTAGGAGAGGTCACTTGTATTATATGTCGAACCTTTTCTTTTTACTTTTTATACTTACATTGCCCCTCATTGGGGTCTTTTCTTTAGTAGTTTAGTTACATTTCTTTTACATTAGGGGGAAAAAAATGCTGTGTCTGGTTGATTATCAGTTTTAGTATACTCAAGCCTGCAAAAGTGGTTTTTATTCATATATAATGATCTCGTATTATATGTTGAACTTTTTATTTATTTATATACATACATTGCCCCTCATTGGGGTCTTTTCTTTAGTTATATATAATAATATTTGAAGTTGCATAATCATTTCAGGAATAAAGTCATGAATTGAGTTAAAGGGTTATGAGATTGTATTTTTCAGCATCTCATTGTCAATGGTGTTGAGATTTGAGAATATGACATAATGATGCTCTTACCTGGTTTATAAGGTTGTGTGCTTCTCAAATATCACTAAATCAAGGAAAGATCTATTGTTGGTGTAAATTTTTCTACAATTGACATTGTGCCATTATTTGTTGTTTTCATAATTACTATGCTTGTATTTTAAAATATATTGCATAACTTTGATTTATATCTGCTTCATGAATTTCATTAGCTATTAATATTATTTATAATTTTCAGATAGCAAAAAGTTATCATGGCCCCAACAAGAAAATCTAGAAGTGTGAATAAGCAGTTTTCAAATTATACTGAGGCTTCTCCAGATAAAGAAATTGGAAATTTAAAGAAAGCTCGGCAACAGGTGAGTGTGACTTCATTTACTAGGGTTGAATTTTTCGTACTTTATTGTCATGGAAAAGTCCTTGGCCTTGCTGGGAGTGTTTTTGGAGTGAAATATTGATCCTTGCCTTTGCTTCTATCTTGTTTCTTATACACATGCTGTATTGTTTCAATTGGAAAATACAGATAATACACACTTCTTACTAAGCTATCTGGAAGGTTTGCATTTCCATTGTTGAAATGTTGTGTCTATCATTTATCTGATGGTGTCACTCTACATCACTTGCTTTCTGTATCTGAACTTTTTCTTCTGTCCAAAAAAAGGAGTTTTCAGAATTTGAGATGATAGTAACACTCTTTGTCCAAAAAGGTGTCACACTTCTTGCTTTCAGAATTTGACCATGTGAACTTATTGTTGACTATCACACTCTTACGCACAGAAGCGGAAGTTGTCTGACAAGTTAGGATCTCAATGGAGCAAGGAAGAGCTTGGGTGTTTCTATGAAGCCTACAGGAAGTATGGGAAAGACTGGAAGAAGGTATGCTGTTCTTGACCTGATTTCAGTTTGCTCTTTTAGAAATTAACCAGCTGATTATGAGTGAGTACTTTATTATTTTAATTTCAGCTTTTATATTATGTTCCCCAGCTATGTTTTTCACTGATGGTGCTAGGATGCATGCTTTTGATGTCCAATTTTTTATTATTTATGATGCTTGATAAAAATTTATTTCCTAATTGATGAAAACTGATTGATAATAATAATGCTTAACTGATAAAACTGCTCTTGTACTAAAATGCTTCATTGTGCTTTTGTCAACCTCTTCTGATGAATGGTTTATGTGGATTTCCAGGTTGCTGGTGTCATACGTAATAGATCTGTTGGAATGGTGGAATCGCTTTACAATATGAATAGGGTAGGATGGTCCTAATACTAGCTAGATTGATAAGTACATTCACCAACATGAATCAGTGTTTTGCAATGATTTTTTTGTTTCTTTATTTTCTATTTTCAAGCAAGCAAATATTCTTGTCCTGCATCATTGTTCTCAACTGAATTTGCACTGGGGGGACAGCTTGTAAATCCCCCTTCCCTTTCTGGGCTTTGGTTTTTCAGTTCCTACTTGTGGTATTGATGTGTTGAAGTTAAATGTAACATCAAAGATTATGGTTCAGGTTCAATTAATATTTGTCTCTTGGATGTTGGTTTTTAACTATATGCTTTTCCTGATTTGTTGTTCCTTCTCTTCGTATTGCCACTTCTTTTTCTTCTCAGTTGGTACTATTCCACTCATTTCTTTTATTTTTTGTTGTATCTCTGTTCATGTTATCATTTTTACAACTTGAAAGAGAACTGAGAAATCTAATGGACCGTAACCCTAGATTGATAAAGAGTAGCTTAAGGCCGTGAGTCCTAGAGGGGGGTCTTGTTCAATTTTAACTAACAATAACTGATTTTAAAATGTAATAATTACATTTAAAAGGGTAAATTATACTGATGTGATGATGGATGTATAAGATTACAATTTTACCACCTATCTTATTTCACACGATCTGCCCATCCCAGAATCTAGCTTTCCTCTTTCTCTTCCGTCCTCGATCGTTCACAATCTCTGTCTTTCTCTATCATTCTCTGTCATGCCAAGCAATGCGCGAGCTATTGAATTGTTGTTACTGGTCTTCGACTAATCATTAGAGTCCCATCTTTGGTTGGCAAGGCAAGATTCTAATCTGGTTCATACATTCCTGCCTTGTTTTTGTGTGTGATACATTCCTGCCTTGTTTTTGTGTGTGTGCGCATCTAAGAAGCACAAACACAGGTACAACAAGATACGGACACGGTGATGCAACAAATCTCAAAAAAATAGGACACGGCACAATACGTAATATATATATATATATATATATATATATATATATATATATAAAAAAATTAACTTTTTTCAGTTTCTCAATAATAATACCATATACATTCTAAGGAATGTATCCACTTTTTCTTCCAGTCTTCTTCTTCTTCTCGCTTTCTCTCACTGATTTGGCTTACATTTTGATATGAGAATTGAGAACAAAGTTTCAGACAAAAGAATGAACATATGATGTGAATACACTTATTTTCTTGTTGGGTTTTTAAGCCTAATTTTTATATTTAGATTTTTATCCCATTAGATTATAAAATTCAAGGATTTTTTTTTTTTTTTTTCCTAAATGGTACTCACACACACATGCCTCCCCCGATGCTTGAACCCCTGACCTCCCTTTGTGAAGTAAGGGCCTGATACCGCTAGGCCACTGGTCCTTTGGTTATAAAATTCAAGTTGAGCCTAATGCTTTAAAAAAATATTCACAAATTGACCTTGTCATGTCCTGAAAAGTGTCCTGGCCGTGCCTTTACGTATCCAGCCTTGTCCTTGGCGTATCCGGCCTGTCTTTGTCTCAAAAAAATATTCATTAAAAAATGTGGACACTTCTAGCCTTGACGGACACGAGTCCAGCGGTGTCTGAAACCGACATGGCACTTCCGACGGAGTGTTCGTACTTCCTAGGTGTGCATATATCCATATATGTGTAGCAAGTTTGGAAATTCTGAAAATATCTTGGCATTTCAACTAGGCTTCAGCAAATACAACAGAGCAGTTACATATGCAGTCGTGTCCTTTGTGTATCCGGGCTGTCTTCATCTCAAAAAAATAATCATTTGAAAATTCGGACACTTCTAGCCGTGACGGACACGTGTCCGGCAGTGTTCTCAGCGTGTCTGTGTCAGAGATGTGTCTGACACCACCATGGCACTTCCGATGGGGTGTTCGTACTTCCTTGGTGTGCATATATCCATATATGTGCAGTAAGTTTTGTCCTGGTGGAAATTCTGAAAATATCTTGGCATTTCAACTACGCTGCAGCAAATACAACAGAGCAGTTGCGCTGAATAAAGCAAAACAGTCATAAATCATTATAAGATCAGAACAATTTTACCCTGACACTGTTGCCGGCCACCACCGCCACCACCGCCAACACTGATCAACTTCATTTTCTCTCTCCTCTTATGCATAACCGTTACTGCTACCTCTCCTCCTCCTCCACAAATTTTTTTTCTTTTCTTTTTTCTCCATCTCATACTGCTTAGTTCGCTCCTCTCCACCCTCCAACCTCCTCCTCCTCTCTCTCTCTCTCTCTCTCTCTCTCAGATAAATCATCTTTTTTGCCTTCTCCCTGCAAAACCAGAATGATATCAAGAAAAAAAAGACAACAAAATTGGTCTTTCGAGAGAGAAAGGGAAGAATGTAGATAAATTAGTAGTAAATAGTGTAGATGGAGATAAAAACTGTGCTTTTGCAAACTTTATATGCTAGCTTATTGTGGATTTCTACATAATGAATGAAGCTGTTTCTGAACGTTAATAATCTTTAATGCTTCTGATTTTCAGGCGTATCTATCCCTGCCAGAGGGGACAGCTTCTGTGGCTGGCCTGATAGCAATGATGACTGATCACTATAATATCCTGGTTAGATTGGATCTTAGTTTTTCAGTGTTTTTACATTGATATTGGTAGATTGTAGATTTGAATGGTTTTCTAAAAGTTGTTTCTCTCTTGGTGCTTGTCTGGAAATGCACTTTTTCTATCTTCTATTTGAGCAAATGTTTGGAAAGACACATCGTATAAAAATTATTGTTATTATTAGTCAAACAGGACAATGAATTCGAGATATATGAGATGTGGAAGCAAGGAAAATTGTTTTCTGGAAGCAAGATAGAATTATTCCATTTGCTTTATAATATTTAGAAAATTATAGTTTCAGAAGTAAGAAAATCTAATTTCTCTGCCGTCAGTGAATCAGAATTAGGTTGTATTGCTGACTACTGCACATATAAAAGGATGCACTAGGGCACGGTTCTGCTGTTTCTGGTTTGAGTTGTATGAATTTTGGTTTAAAAGAGTGGTTGTTGGTTCCTTGTGTTCGTTTTAGTGCGATTCAAGGATATTTTGACTAGTTTAAACACCATTTGGGACATTAGGCCAACCATTGTGATGTCCTGCACAAGTAATTTTAATACATTAAAATTATAAATCATTAATAAATGATAATTACATTTTTTTGCCAGGTAAGCTATATATGGTGTTGATGTAAAAATAAATCTAATATTTTTAGAAGTCTTCTACTTGTTGGGAAATAGTTTTTTTTTTTCCCCACCCTAAAGGGATATGTACTCTGGCTCTCTAAATTAATTTTTACTTCTTGAAGATCTTTGGCAGGGAGAGTAGTGTCTTTCTTGCATATGGTAAAGTTATGTTTTCTTCCCTCTATTGTAAAGTTGTGGTTGTCGCACCGCTGTCCATCATTTCATGCATACACTTATTTTCCTAGTCATTTGCTTGTATACCTTTGTCCCACATGGATGTGCTAATTGCATGCAGAAACCAAAGGAAAGTGTACAAGGATGTGCTATTTTGGAAGTATCAAAAGACGTTTCTCTGAAAAAGAAAAAGAAGTTTCTCATAACTTCAAGCCGGTAATGTATATGCTGTAGGGTTTCAACATCCAACGGGTTAACTTTGTCAACCAGTTTGATTGCAAATCCAGTTGAATTTTCCTGATTTTCCATATACCGGGTGGATAAGATATATGTGTATATATATTTGGTAACTAAGAATCAACCCACCTGCTAGCCACTTTGGACTCTTGGATGGTTTGTGAACTATGGATGTACGCAATCGCCCGCAAATTATGTGCATCATTTAAACCCAAGCCTCACCATTGGTGAAACTTGAACCAACAACCTAAGGGAGTACCCCCAAAGGCCTTGACTGTCAAGCTGCCCATGCGGGCTGTGATAAGATATTCTAGTTCCTTGAGGCCTTTGGGTCTGGGTTAATCGGCTCAACATGGCGTACAGGATCAAAAAAACACCAGCTTTAAATGTGATTCATATATTGTTTTTGAACCTTTTCTTGTTTTATTGTTGAAATGAATGTTCTTTTTCTGTCTGCATTCTTTTTCTTCTTCCTCCTTTTTTTTTTTTTCTCACAAGTAAGATTTTCTGTCTGAAATTCTTATATCTAGTATACATGCTATATCTTACTGTTTCACATGAATGTTAAATTTATTTTCTGGCAGTTTGAACACTGATATAGTGATTGTATCAATCTAAAGTTTTAGTGAATGTCTCTTGTGTTTGGTTTGTCATTACAATACTTAAATCGTCCATGAGTTACATTGTTTTTAATGCTAAATTGGATTGTTGTGTTTTGCTAAGTATCTTTAGTTTTAACTTAAAGTAGCTTAATATACATGTTAACTGCATGTATTGTTAACTTACAGGAAGGCAATGATAGTGATCGAGAGAGCAATGATACTTCAAGATTATCTCGGAAGCCTCAGAAACGTGGTCGGAGAAAGGTTCAGGTTATTTCCTCTAAAGAAGATGTTTTGCAATCTCAATCGGTTGCCTCAACCGATGGATGTTTATCATTACTGAAGAGGAGGCGCTCTGACGGTATAGCAGCTACCCTTCCTTTTTTCCCCCTCGAAGCTAGTTGTTGATTGTATTACTTTGTTTTCTTTGTGTATGGTGATATATTCTTTATTTTCTCATTTATAACATCAAAACTGGGGATTTTATTGTATTTAATGGGTAAATAATTAGAAATCAATGTATAGTTTGGGACGCGTTCCCCTTTTGAACGCTCTTTAATACATTTTACTTATCAAAAAAAAAATAATTAGAAATCAAGAAGAGACGAACCTTATTGGGGAATGTTGCTCACCTGATGTATGATGAAACTAGACAATTTAGGAACCGATGCCTTAGGTTCATCTGGTCTTGACTTTACCTGATTTATGGCCTTGACTTTACCTGATTTATGTGCTTTTTCAGTGATATGTGTACTTGTAACTAGTGCCAATTAAAATGGGTCGGTGCATTTTGTGGGATTCATTATTGAAATACCCTGATATTTCAATTTTGCACTCTTGCTTGAATTAATGCTATGACCACATACTCGAGCATTGCATTTAATCATTTGTGGCAAATTAGACATGGTAATTGCTACATGTAGGTTCGTGGCCCTTGGTTGATTGAACATTGGCAAATCTATCTCCTAATGAATCTACATATTATTTGTGGGTTCTAATAGATAATTAGGAGAGAGGTCTGATGACGTAAAGAGATCCCAATTCAGAGAGAGAGAGGTAGAGAGGTTATTGTAGACTCCGCACAAAGTCTTTCTTGTGATAAAAGCAAGACCAATCTAATACAGAGATCTAGAGGTTGCGGTATGGTTTAGAGGATCTCTTCTCTTTTTTTTTTTTTTTATAAGTAAAAAGTATATTAGAAAAGCGTTCAAAAGGGGAACGTGTCCCTAATACAAAACGAAAAAAGGACCTAAGGACCAATAGCATCCAAAAAATCAAAGAAGTCATCAATCAAGGAGCAGGCGCTTCCTCTTGCATAACAGAATAGAGACCGAAGAATATGAACTTTTAGATTTGCTAAAGACGATTCTTTTCCTTCAAAATTTCTGTTATTCCTCTCTCGCCATAGGCACCACCAAACACAATGTGGAACAATCCTCTAATAATCACAAGCATGTTCTTTAACTGGGCATCGTTTCCATGTGTTAATCAATTGTGAGGAGTGTTTAGGCATTACCTAATAAACGCCAAACATGCTAAATATGAAATTCCAACAATCGTACGCTATGGGATAGTGCATAAGAATGTGATCCACGGATTCTCCTTCTGCTTTGCATAGATAACACCAGCTAACAATGACATTGCCTCTCTTTCTCAATTTATGCAATGTCAAAATATTTCCCAAGGTGGCAGTCCAAACGAAGAAAGCGATTCTAAGAGGAGTTTTAGAACGCCAAATAGACTTCCATGGGAAATCATGACCAACGAAGTTGGACAAACACAAGAACATGGATCGGACACCATATCTACCATGAGCTAAAGGGACCCACAAAATATCAGTTAATCCTCTGCCATCATCCTTCTGTTTATACAACGTATCCAAAAAAACACAAGCTTTCTCCATTTCCCAATCCTGAAAGGGGCGCCTAAAACGCACATCCCACGTAACTCCACTACTATCAAGTTGATAACAATCAATTACGTAAGCGTGCTTATTGTCAGCAATACTGTAAAGTCTAGGAAAGGAGTGAGACAACAGCTGATCTCCGCACCATAAGTCCTCCCAAAATCGAACATGTCTACCGTCGCAAACTTTGAATCTAATATGTGAGGAGAAAATCTCCATAACCACTTTCCCAAAAGAGCTCGATTAAAAAGGACCAGCTTTCGAATGCCTAAACTGCCTAATTTCAACAGTTGGCATACTTGTTCCCAATTAACAAGATGATACTTAAACTCCTCTCCCTTTCCACCCCATAGAAAATCCCTCTAAATTTTTTCAATCCTTTCAACAACAGAACATGGGATTTGAAACAAAGCATAAAGTAGGTAGGAAGGGACGAGAGAGTACTCTTAATGAGAGTGACTTTCCCCCCCTTAGAAAGATATGTTTTTTCTATCCTGCTAATCTCTTCTCATATCTATTAATCACTGGGTCCCAGTTCCCTAGTCTCGTAGAGGAAACTCCCAAAGGCAAGGTGAGGGGATCTTGAGGTTAATCACGTATTAGTTTCTTTGCTTTATTTATTTAAGTTGTTTTTTCCTCAATTTTTAGATTGTATGTTCCTCATTATTTAGGTTATACTAAGAATAGAAAAAAATTATGATAAAGGTGTTCTCACTAAACTTGTGCCCTAATAACCATGAGACTGCAAGGCTGTAAAAGACAGTCTTAGCCTCTCTCAATTAACAGTTAAAGGGTGTAACCCAGTTAGAGTGTCCTCATAACATATATGCTCTTGTGAATATATGATAAAACTTATATTTTGAAGAAAAATATATTATAATAATGCTATATATATATATATAGATATATTTAAATTTTAATTACATACTACTCCCGCCCAACCAAGGGTGGAGCCAGGATTTCAATTCAGGGGGGAGCAGCCGAGCAGTGTAAAAAAAAAATCAACTAACATGACAAATATTGATTGTTCAAATCAAGAAGCAAACAGGACAAAAATAATTGCAAAATAATATGCTAAATCAATGACCAATATAAGAACTAAAAGTACGCCTTTGTATTTTGAAATCAATGCATGAAAATTACACCAATTGACTTCATAAATTACAGTATAAATTCAAATAAGAAGAGAAAATGATTGTAGGGAAAAAAAAAAAAGTAAAGAAAAATGAGAACTTTGAAAGGAAAGAAATTAGAGTTTGATTCTAAGTCACATAATTCGCTCAAACCACTGGTGCTCCATCGCTCCGCGCGCGAATTGGCGTTTTGAGAGCGAATTCGCCAAAAATTCACGCTCTCATGTTTTTGAATTCACGAATTCAATTTAAGAATTCGCCGGTTTTTAAAGTTCAATTCGATGAATTGTGTAAGGTAAAATTGCGTATTTTGTTCAAGAATTCAACTACTTTTGACAATAAATTTACGAATTTAGTGTGAATCTTGAGAAATTTCGATTTTACCCCCAACTTAAATAGACCAAATAAGGTTAATTATGTCAAAAAGTAATCAATTTAATTTAATTAAGTAAACTCTATCCTTTATAGATAAAAATCAAATAATATAAGTTATATAACAATATACTTAATATTTAATAATACTTACGTAACTTACCTTCATTAGATAATATTTACGTAACTTACTTTCATTAACTTTTGGGTTTGGAAGTTTGGATATTTCATGTCTATTTTAAAGTTTAGCAGTAGATTCTTTTGCTTTTGAACATTGCTATTTCAAAGACAATGATTGTCATCTTGAGAGCTTAAAGCAGGTTAAATGTATAAAAGACAATACTTTTGAACATTTCTTTTTCTGTTATGCCCTATTCACTGTTATGTTTTTATTTTTGTAAAGCAGCTTGTTTGATAATCATGTTTGTTAATTTATGCATTTTTATAAAGTAGGTTATATTGGTTGTACATATTTGATTCACTATTCTGTCTTTTTATTTGCAAGAAATTTATTTAAAACATATATTTATTATTATAAATTAATATTTTATATATTTATAATGCGGCGCTCCCGCTCCAAGATTTTTTTGGGATTTGCCGCTCTTGCACTCCCGCTTCCGCTCTATGTGACTTAGGTTTGATTGAAGAAGGGAAATTAAACTTTTTTTTATTTTTTATTTTTTTTAAGGAGATCAAAGGAATTTGAAGGGTAAAAGAGAAGAAATAAAAATTTAAAAGATAATTTTAGAAATTAAAAGTTTTTGGGGGCCATTAAATCCCATCCCCCCCCCCCCCCCCCCCCCCCCCCCAGCCCTGGGAATGTGTAGCTTTGCTCCTGTATCTGGAATCACATGATGTGTGTGTCTCTCTCTCTTTAAGTCAAGTTGACGTGTCTTGGGATTTGAGATAAGGCCAGCTTTACGAGCTGCCACTATTTAGCCACCAAGTACCCCAAAGATTCTAGTGAACTAGGCGACTGGGTTATGACAATGTGCCTCAAAGTGCGCTATGACAAGTCAGCCATGTATTCTTCTTGATTTGTGCCATATCTGCATACCTCGAGGTAGAATATGATGTGCCAATAGCGTATTGACTTTATATCCCCTTGAGTCTTGTTCTCAACTCTTCAAGATGCCTTTTCAATCTTCAAACTTTCAGGAGATATTCATTGGAGATGAGGCAAGAGTTCTTCATATTATTAATACCGATAGTAAGGCTTATATGTGGGGAAGAGGTCTATGTGAGTAAATATATAATTAGCGAAGCTCATTGGAGATGATGTACACGTGTGAAAAGCCTAAGATTTGTTTTCACAACTCAGACTGTCTGTTATGTGAGATGAATTGCACGGCGGTGAAGTCTGTAGTTGGCCCCTATGAAGCCAATAGCCATAGGTCTGCCAGCTAAGTATCAAGATCTTTGGCATCTTCTCCAATTTTCTAAGCTTCGTTTGCACTAACTTCTAAAAGTAAGCCATGACAAAATTGCTTATGTGGTGCTTATAAGGTAATCAATGGGTTCCTGACACTCACATTTAGAGTCTTGCCAGATAGAAGCTTTTCGGTAAGTTTCTAGCAACAATAGAATAACATATGAACTATGAACACAAGGTAAAATGCCAGAAATAATGTATTAAATCAAAGGAGCCTTTGTTGTAGTCCCCCTTATATTTTAAGAGAATAACCATGAAAAAGTGCAAATATGCACAAACAATAATAAAGAAGAGTGTAAGTAACAAAGAAAATTAATAATAAAGATGCATTCTTGAGGATTCCCCAAATTCACTATGGGACTCTTCTTGCAGGTTAAGAGCAAAACTTTACACACTTTTCTTCCGGGTGAAGAGCCAGCCTTTACAAGCTATCCCAAACTCCCTTACCAAGTGCAATTTCCTTCACTTAGTCTTTACAAGGGTGTACCAACCCTTTTTAGTATCAAAGAATGATAATT